ATCATACTGACATGATGAATTCAAAGCAATTTGAAATGAGGCACCAAGCTCAGAAAAGAAATGTCCAATTAGGTGGCTCAAGATTAGATCAGAGACAGTATTTATGCTAGAGTGAACACACACACTGTATAATAACCAGCCTGATTGCAAGCTGCAGGAAAATCCTACTATGTAAGATGCTTAAGATTAACATAAGAAAATATTTTTCAATTTGTCAGGAATCATCTGTATATGGGAATGAACTGAAGTACTGTAAATGATATAAGAAGGCTTTTCCATCTTCAGTGTCTATGAATCTATGTGTGGACCTGAAAGACGAAGTCTGTTTCCAGACTGAATTCTGCAAGATTTCAGCATACATGGCTTCCAGACCAAACCTTCCAAAAACAGATAGAGGATAGCAGGTATTCCCAAACTCCATATGGGAACTCTGAATATTTGTTGCCTATTAAAAAAAACAGCATAATACATGATAGAACTAGTTTATATTGGTGACATTCCCAGGACCACAAAGTGAAAAGAGAATTTGCCCCTTTAGTTCTCCCCCTGCTTACAGCCACCTGACTGGTCATGTCAACATCACAGCTACCTTACTGGTTATATTCCTTTCTTCTCCTCTGCCTCTCTGTCACAACCACCAAATCCTCTAGCAGCCTAATCACAGTCTATCAGCTACAGATCTCCTGCAGTTCATTTGTTCCGCTTGTAAAACTGCTGGATTTGAACATGCATCCCTTGCTGCTTCAATTAATGGAGTAAGAACACAGGGGGGGTTAAAAACCAAAGTCAGCATCAGCTGATAAAGCACTAGTGTGGTTCAAACAAGTCATCATTCTCTGTGAATGGAAGTACTAACCAACTGCGATGGGTAACTTGTTGCGCATCTTCCGTCCACTCCAGCATCCTTGTGATAGACACTGACCATGGATCTGGAAGACATTTACTATCTAACCAGAGACAGACAACAAATAAACTTAACTTTTTTTATCTCCCAGTCCTGGAAAGTAAAGGTTTAATCTCCTAACCCTGGAAAATACTCCCAAATATTGGTTCCTTCAAACAAGGTATACTGGCAGTTCAACTGGAAGAGAGGCAAAATATGCCCCAACCCATCCAGAACAGCCAGCATTTTCTTTGGTCCAGTAGAACATGCACTACTGGGTGAATTTCAGTGGAGTCATTGAATGTCGCGTTGTGCTTGTGTAGATTCTAAACTCAAGTTGCTGTTATAAAAAGTCATCAAGAGAAGGAGTCGCCTAACTTCAACAGTCTTTCCAGAAAAGGACGGGAAAAGACAGAACTAGGAGACAGAAGCCTTGAATGACATACGCCAGCTCAAAGTACATTTTCAGCAGCCACTGCAGGTAGAGTTCTGCTCCTCATTCAGAGAAGGTAGTAACAACAACACTGTCTTCATGTTGGTCAACCTCCTGTTCTGATTTGGTACAAAATGCCTCAATTGTTTCAGGCAACTGTAGTTTGCACCTATCTGCAAGTCACTCTTTGGCTTTACAGAACAGTTTGTGCTCCATACATTTTTCTTATTTGTATTACACGTGCTCCTTGGCACAGGGAGATGAAAGATGTGGTAATTTAAGACAAGAAAATAATCTGTGCTCTAATAAGGAGAACACAGTCTCCTTCAGGGCACAAGTTGACTCTCAAAGTGGAAGACAGGTAGTTCACAATGTTTTCATTGAGCACGCAAGGTCAGATCAGGCCACTGGGGGTGTCAGTACTATCACTATTGTTTTACATCCCTGCACTACCTTCCTATAGCACAACATCCACAGCACCACAGACTTTCTTGTTAAAGGCCTCATTTTGCATGGGTGAGGTTTTAGATCCTGGTATAACGAAGCTTTTCATTGACAGCCCAAGGAATGCTCTAAGAAACTGTTTTGAAGTTGAAAATGGCTCTTTACTAAAGCATCTAACCTCTCTTTATGAGCTGCCTGGCAGCCTTTACTTGAGATTTATTTTCTTCATGTGTTCAGGTGAAGTAGAAAATAACAAACTGTAGTGGGCTACTTGTAACTATCATTCTAAGAGAGGTACTAGAGTTTATGTCAGCTCTCATCCTTCTCACTTACATTTCTGCAGCCATGAAAACAGAAAAAAAATCCACAGTCACAGAAACAAAACACTTTTTGGGGGGCTGCTTCATGAGTTCCACAACAGATAACAGAAATCTGAAGAATGGAACTCCTTTATTTTATCTATTAGCAACCTTATGCTGAAGGAAGGGATAAAGGAGGCAAGAAAAAAATATTGGACTGAGTTTATGGAAGGAAAGTTTGCAATTAACTAAATGTTAAGAAGGCAAGAAGGACAGTTTTTTTTAAAGCTGAGATAAGAGAATAATTTTTCACAGGGAATGGGAGGTAGAGGAGGTATAGCTCATACATTACACAAACTAAATTACCAAAAATGTAAAAGTATAGCAAAATTTCAGAATGTGAATTACTATATCCTCAACATCCTCATTGCTTCCTAGGTCCAGGAAGGTAGTACCAAGTTGCATTCCCCACAATATTTTTTGTTTTTTCACTCTTCAATCTAGTGGGGGATGAAATAACAGCAAGGAAAAAAAAATTTCATAACTATAAACTATTCTTGATAAAATAATACTGACAATCTTTGTTATGTAAATCATTTTGCTACAAAGAAGGAGCAGAGGTTAGCATTGTAAGATTATAGAATTAAATTGATTCCTTTTGCATTATGAGACTAAAATATGTAAGGACTTTAAGGCTTCAAAACACAGTCTTGTCAGAGACTTAGATCTTGTAACATGAAGCTTCAAACAGCCAAGTGTTTCAAGGAGATGCAGAATTGCCTCACTCTAGCATACACTTACCTACAGATAAAAATTAATGCTTATACATCTTTTCATTCTTATCACATTGCAATAAAAGGCTTTGTAGTGGGAAATGTGGACAACTCAGCCACATGCTAATATTATATTGGTCAGTGATGGACAAAGGTGTTCTCATAATTTTGATCTGAACTGGACATCATTCTGCTCCAAGTGAATTTTGCGCGAGCTGCAGTAAAGCAGCTCACTGCTTATAAAACCAGCACCAGTTAAAAGTAAAATCCCAGTATGCATTCTATGGCTGCCCCACTGACACAGGGACAAAGCACTTCTCTGTGTGACAAGCAGTCTTGGTACGTGTGCCAGAGCTAAGCAGAGCATGCTACACATACCGTGTTTCTAGTCTGTGCAAAAACAAAAGTACGTTGGGTGTCTTCTGCTGCTCACACTTTGCAGCCCTGGAGTAAACTGCTGCATTTTAGCAAAGGAAAGTGACCAACTGTAACACTTGCTGAAGGCTAATCTGTAAATTTCAGTACATCAGTGTATACAGGTACTTATTTTAGTGTATACATTTACTTATTTTAAGCTTATTTTGTTGTTATATATTGAGAAAATAACCAAGAGGATTGCAACCAAGTGTGACAACCAGATCTGAAGACAGACTACAAATAGCAATAAATACCATTTGTTCTAAATGGCATACAGTATATTCTGCTCTTGTCTCTTTAACGTAATCAAAGCTTATAAACAAAACTTGAGACAGCTAAGGGGGTTTATTGTTTATGACTATACAGTTTGTAACATATCCACAAATATCTACTACTCCTTTATCTGTTTCAGGACTCAAACAAGAAAAAGAGAGCAAGATCAGCTCAGAAATTAATTAATCTCATTACCCATCTCCTTTGCAATATATCATTCAGCACAATTAGACAATCTGAAATTATTACTTTAAAAAAAAAAAAAAGAAAAGAAAAGCTAATTCCAGATATAGGACTTAACTGGTACTCAATTGGCAGCTCTCAGAAACAGAACAGCACAAGGCAACAAACAACACTGGCCAAAAAACCCAAAAAAGCTCACAGTAATCAAGTTATTTTACAGATGAAGTTTTATTAGACACCTGACATAAAACACTCTAGAAGTCAGCTCCTAAAGACAGAGAAAGGAACCTTTGTAAACATCTGAGTTAATACACCTAATTAAATCAGACATGCAAGTTTTCATAAAGCCACCTGAACGTCTGTCAGGATACAGCATTAGCCAGGAGTAATTCATCAAACCATCAGACCTGGACCAAGGACCACCTCAAAGCCAAATGGAGTAAGTAACAAGTGCCCATGCTGTCCTGGGAGCGGACAAGAAAGCACAGGAACTCCAAACTCTGCCCAGTTTACCTGTTTCCTCCCCACTTGCTCCTCTAAATAACATACCATTGATACTCCTGCTCCCCCATGACACGCTACCTCTGACTCTCTACCTGTTCTCCTCTGCTTGCTTGAGCTGGGAACAGAGCACCTTAGCAACGGATTTTATTTTTTTTTAAAGGAAATCTTAAAAGCAGTTGAACTGTCTTTGTGACAAACTTTGGTTTAATAGATCTGGTATTTGAAAGATATTAACTAAACCTTGTTAAAACTACATATTGTAGTTCATGTAAATATTTATTGTATATTTCAATAGAGTACAACAAAATAAATATTTACTTTATACAGTGGTTGCATACAGAGGTCTGCATGAGGGAACAGATATCCCCTCAGAATCACACTGTTTTCTTTAACCTTGAATTACTGCAGTATAAAAGTTCAAGGCCAGGCTGGATGAGGCTTTGAACAACCTGGGCTAGTGGGAGGTGTCCCTGCACATGGCAGGGGGTGGAACTCGATGGGATTTAAGGTCCCTTCCAACCCAAACCGTTCTGTGATTCTGTGACTCTATGAATAGTGCTTCACTCTACAGATAGTCCCGCTATGGCTCTCAGCAAAGTCAGGTGTTTCTCAAGATAACAAAGGGTCACAGGCTCACAATTTTATTTCCAGAAGGAAATTTCTGGGAGGGGTGACCTAAGACAGAAGTCCAGGCCCCTCCATCCAAAATCAGGTTCATGATCTAACAAAAAAAAAAGAGCAATTGCAAAACATAGCTAGAACAGCTTTTTACTTCATTTAAATGAACTTACAGGAAGAGTGGATACTGGGAAAGCTTTTTCTGCCTTCAGACACCAGATCGGGATCACCTGTGCAGTGCATTTCAGAGTTCATTACTCCATCTGGAAAGCAGCGGTAAAAGAAATCGGGACGCGGTCTACAAAAAACACCATGGATATTAAAAATATAAAAGCTGTAGTAACAGATAAACCTCAAAGTGATCATTACATTTACTGCTTATTACATACTGAGTTCATTCCCTCCTGCCTTCACACAGCAACAGAAATGCTTCGTTTTCCCTGAACAATCAATTCAAGGTCACTTTTTTTACAGGGAGGCTCCCTCAGGGAAGCTTCCAGTGCAGCATGGAAGTGGGAGTTGTCTCTGGAAACGAACACACAGGGCTGCTCGTGCCTACAGCGATCAATCTTGTACAATGCTTCCAGGGGCAGAGCAAAGCAGCGCAGCAACCCCACAAAGCTGCACAAGTCTTGCCATCTAGCTGAGAGCAAGACTACAGCTTAGGCTATGAGATTGGCACCAAAACAATCACCAAATTCTAATGCCAGCCTTGATGCTGACTCTTCAACTGCATTTAACAAACCTCCAAATTTCTGTTGACCCTGCTCTGAGCTCAATAAGAACATGTTGGTTGGACTGGTGCCATCCTGATCCTGAGCTGGTAAACCATGGGGAGAAGCGAGGAGAATGACCACAGCTGCAGAGACAAGCTGACAGAGCCAACTAAACTGGCTTAGAGTGCAGGCAAAATGAGCTCATGTCTGCCTGAAGAAGATGGTGCAGACATTCTTAATTGTATTTCAAAAGCATTCTTAAAATAAAAGTGCCAAGTATCATTATTGTCAGGGCATCACTACTGTAGCAGGGAGGGTTCATCAGAAACCAAGCACAAGCACTGCTTCCTCAGTGCTGCAAAACAGGTGAGGCTGAATAACAAATGCAGCATTCGACTCTATTAAATAGTGCATGAATTAAACTCAAATAGATATTTTTTCAGCTGAAATTATTCAAAATTTTATAAAGAGACAAAAAATACCTAAAAAAAACATTTTCCAGAGACTTTTATTTGCTAGTATTTTTCTGAGCCTTTCATTCAAATTTATGCTTCCCTAAAAAAAATGGCCTACCTAGGAGTCCACTTATTGCTTAGCTCCAAGGTTCATTCTGCCATGGATCTTGTGGAAATGTCACATTCAGTAATACACTTCCCACAAAAAGCAGGCACGAGGTTATACAGAGACTCAATTGATTCCTATTTAATCAGACTAGTGGCACTGGCATCTCAACTCCCACATGCTGCGACTCTTCCCTTCTCTGTTGCCAAATTAATGAATTGATTTCAGCTCACACCTTTCCTTTCAAACTCCTCGTTTGTCTGGACCTGCCAACCAGTCAAGCAAATAACAAAACACAAGGACATAGATTCCTACCACAGCTGGATGCCACATAATGAAGTTGCACAACACCTGCATCAGGGAAAGGACAGCTTTGGAGGGTCCCGATATAATTCAACATGCTTTGGAGCAGCGGCTGTCTTTTTATTGAGATGTACTGTATTTGTCAACTCTGCTTCTCTTAACAGTTAAAGCCATCATTTATAACACGACAAGACTTACCTTCCCACTATTAATTTAATAGTATTTGTGCAGACGCCATTCAGAGCTAGAGCCAAGGAAACAGCTAGAAAAGAGAATGAACAAACAGAAACAATCATAACCTAAATACCAAGCTATAAATTGCAGCATTACAGCAGTAGATTTACAGACTGAAACCCTTACTGGACTGAAAACTGAATGATCCTTGCAGCCCACTGTGTTTCTTATTACCAGACTAAGGAGAGACCCCAGAGCATGATAATAATCACAATTTACTTTGTTCTGCTTTTACTGTGGAGAAATCTTATTTCCTTATGCAAAGCCAGTTTTCCTATCTTGCCATTTGCACAGTTATAAATCATCAGATGGAAACAGCTATTAGAGAATCAAGTTCTGTGTTTATCAGTTTTTTAATTTACTGGATGAAAATCTTACACTCTGGGTCAAGGATAGAATTCCTGCTTAGAACTATATGTAAGATATATATATATATATACACACGTGTGTGTTTTTACATATATATATACACACACACATACACATGACTGAATTAAACAGTTCACTTTCAGGCTAAAGAATTGCCTTTTAGCTAATATTAGAATTGGATTATTTATTTTATTTTTCTTTCAAAAGGATGTGGATGCTTTGACTACAAATCTTGACATCTTCCCCACACATTTGCTCACAGGATTAACCAACTTTACTAATAAAATTAGAATAATAAACAGTAACTGTCATGATAGGTATGAGTGAATAATCCAAGTTCCTAGACTTTCCAAAGAACCTCATCTAAAGCCTGTGGATTTCAGCAGCACTTGGATCCAGTGCACGCACTCCTTTTAGATGAAAACTGATTTTCTGTTGCAGTCCACACCAGAGCTCCCTGCTACAAGAAAAGAGCCACTAAACATTTTTTTTTTCCATCAGAAAAAAAAAATATCAAGCAAACCTCTGGTTTCTAGCAGAACCATTACAGTAATATAACTTTTGATTATGACAGCCACACGAGCTATTTTCTCATGGGACTGCTGCCCCAGATGCTGCACTTCAGCAGCACTCATCCTGTCTCCATAAGATCTCTGCCCAAGGATATTATACACCATAAAAATGGGTGTGTTATAGGATCTATTTTTCTTTAAGTTAAAAAAAAGGTCATCCAACGAAGCAGAAACAAGGGTCTTCTCAGACTTCAGCAACAGGTGCCAGCAAAAATAAAGGAAGAAGACAATCCTAGAAACACTGCTATTGTTCAAAAAAAGTCTCACGCTTACAACACTTATGTTCACAGTGACCACTCAGTCCCATTCTCTCTTTTTCTTCTCAGTTTTTCCTCTTAGTTATTTATGGTGATTGCATGGTGAACTGAAATCTTCCACCAAGTCAAATGCATGTGACCATCAATGTCCCAGCACTAGATTCTCCTTTTTAAAAAATGGGACATGTAGAGATATCTGCTTTCTGAGACACGTGGTGAAGTTTACTCTTTTCATTAAGCTTTCTCTTGATTGTTCATTCCACATCTGACCGAACCATGCTTTCACCATTGCATATTCTTTACAACAGCAACCCAAGTGTCAAATGACAGTGTAAATTAAACTGATAAATAAATTCCATTTGCTCTCATTTTGTTCCCTTTACAAAAGGTTTATACTGCCCACCAAAAGACATACAATCTAGTCAGCAGAGAGAGGGTAGGTGCCTCCAGGGGAAGGATTAAGGGCATCGACACCAGGAAGCTAACTACTCCTGAATCACCTTCTTTACATTAATGTCTATATGAGAGGCAAAACATTTTCACATCCTTTTGATCTTTGTTCTCTTCTACATATGATGCCTAAAGAAATTAAACTTTTCAGGGACTTCCTGATCATTCATTGTGAACATTATGTGCCAGATCTCAGCAAATCATCAACTCCACCACAGTTAATGGATTTTCTCATCACCAGACACATTAACATACTGATTCATATTAATATACTTGAGCATAATTAAGCCACAAGAAGTTCCACACTTATGGAACATAATGAACAGGGACACCCTGTAGAAGAGAACATCAAGGCTGGATTTTCCTTAAAGTCTGGGTAGCAAGGAGAACACTGGGCAAGCTGGCACGTCTTCTCCTGGGAAGAGGGAATCATAACAGAAGGCAAGAACAGCAAAAGAAAAGAATGTGTCTTTAGAACAAAAAGGTGAAAATAAGTGATAGAGGAACTAATCCAAAGCTTCTTTCCTTCTTAAACAACAGAAAGTGAAATTCAGCACTCTGACTGTATGCATTGTATGAATCAGAGTTATTTCTACTGAAGGGACTCATCAGTAAGATATCACTGTAAGATATTTCAGAAGTTACTACAGATGACTGGCAGTAGCCAAAACAAAACTACAATCTTTTCACACTTACATTAGAGCAACTGGAGAAAGAACAAGCTACAGGAACCCAGCCTTATCTAAAAAAAAATGGCCAAAGGCAGATGCATAGTGCCATTTACATCCTATATAGCTAAGGCAAGGCTGAGTATCAGTTTGACCTTATCTTCCAAGGGCCAATAAACTGAAGTGTAAATTAGGTAGTAAAACAAAATTCCAGAATTAGGCACATTTCAAACACACTGCCAACAAAAACATTTGCAGTTTTTAGTGCTTCAAAACATCCTTTGCCAGTGAAAGTGCTTTAGTCTTTGGCAACGTCTAAGTAAGAAGGATCTGGGCATACATCACTAGAAGATTTCAAAAGATAGGAACAGGCAGAATTAGCTGGAACAGTTTAAGACTTTCCATCCCCATTGTCTACCTGCTCCTCTGCTCAACGTTGCTGCCAAAAACTGCCATTAGACCGCACCCGTAACACAGCCATAGCAGTTCACAGTCCAGGATTAAGTGCACATCCAACTCCACTGGCAGTTTAAGATGAAACATCAGCTGGTGATTAGAAAAACTGAGACGTGAGCACAGATTTTGCAGTGGGGAACAGTACTAAGTCCAGAAAGCCAGAGAAAGTGATGAGAGCAGTAATTTCCTACACTAAGCAGCTGAGTCTCACAGGACTTTCCAGTCAAACCCTTCATTCAGAATAGCTGCAAGTATAAATAAGAGGCAAGTAACAGTTTTGCTGTGACAGAAAAATATATATCTGAACAGTCTCTTGGACAGTCTTGAATTAGCTGATCGAATTCTGGCCCTTGCTCACTAGATTGTGGAATTAAGGTGCAGAATTTGTACATTTATAAACATATATAAAAGCAAAGGCTTTTGGAGATGGTTTGCAACTATAACTGCATTGAATACTACTGTAACGGAGACAGGTCTTCTTCAAGGCTTAGACTACAATTGGAATCAATCTCTGAAAGCTATCACACATTTTCTGCCTTGAAGTATGCCATACGTTACCTAAGAATGCCTCTTTAATTTCAGTCTTGTCTGTTCGCCGGATTATTTTCACCACAAAAATGACTGCTAGTGGTGTAAGGAACGAAATTGCCTGTAAGAGATAACAAATATCATGTGTGAAACCATAAATTCCTTTTCAGCCCAACTCATTAATAATTAGTTCCAGTTAGCTCCATTTAAACTGGGAGGCTGAATGATCTTTATCAAACTCTTGACCTTAAGTAAAGTGGGATGATTTGTCTTTGCAACTATAGAGCAATTAATACATCAAAATTGTAATATAACAGTGGGTTATAATTGATTTGGAATTGCCTGGAGCTGCATTTTTAATGTCAGCTTCATAAATGAAAAAGGAACAGTTTATACAGCCCACAAAATTCACACACTGATCCATACAGGTCTTGTACATTTTTTCCACACTAAGCATTGCTCTAGAAGGCAGTCCAACCAGTCTATGCTTTCAGTAAAACCCTATTCAACATTACAGACTCTAGCACCAACTTCTGACATTTTAAAATGCTCTTTATTTTACTTTTTGTTTACTTTTTAATTATCATTCTTGCACACATTCAGAACATGTCTCGATGATTCTTTCATTTACAAGTGTTTGGATGTGGCGCCAACTACTTGATTTTGTTCAAAACCAGAAAAACAACACCTGAACATCTGCAAGTATAATCATCAGTTAAGCAGAACCATATTCTTTTACTGTCAGTGCTGTAGGACAGGATTCCTCCTGCAAGGAACCTGAAATGGCATCTGCACATCAACGCACACACTTGATTTCCATGAACAGCATCTCCATTATCATGGAACAATTTGGATTACGGTTGACAATTCACTGTAAATGTGCCAGTTATCCCAAAAGCATCCTACTTCGTGCAGTGTCTTTATACTAAAGTCTGTCCTCCTACAGCAGGTATTTATTGTCTTTCTCCAGAGAGACATATCAGTTTCTCCCAGCCAGTGAGTTTTTCATTTGTAGCTTGCCATGAAAACTATGATTTTGTTCCCAACTGGTCCTTCCATCATCCCTTTCCTTCTCAGACCTTCAATTGCAGAGGTAAAAGGCAACATATAGGTAAGGTAGTCCATTTATGTTTCTTGGTGGTTCTGGTCTAAGTTAACCATTTCCTTTCTGGAATCTACAAAGCTCTTCACAGTCATATTTGTTCAAAAACAAACAAACAAACAAACAAAAAAAACCACCAAGGTCTTTCAAAAGCATTTATTCTCTTGAAGAAAAGTGAAAATGACTGTTTTTTTAAAACAAGGTGACAATTATGCTATATACGGCACAAAGGGCACGTGGGCTTATCTAACATTATGCTGTCTTTACTGAGGCTGAACAATGCCTTGCTTCTTAAACAGCCCCACCGAAATAAAAACCAGAGACAGGACAGACGTGTGACTGTGTGAGATGTGTGACTCTCTTTTTATAATACAGATTAATCACAATGTTCCTTTTATGCTTTTAGAATGTCTAAAGTAGGGAACAACACAAAAATGCACTGTATTTGCTTTCTTGTAGTGCATCTTGGACCAGATTCCCCTCATCTGCATCTGCAAAATATTATCTCAGTGAGCTGTGCAGATTAAAACACAGTCTGGAATCTGCTCCCCTTTTTCACATTTAGAAAGGCAGGCACCAGGTTTTGTGCAAAAAGATGTGCCATTTGTACTGAAAATTCCCTTCTGTCTAGAGTGTGTGTGAGATTCAAGCTAAGATGCTAGGGCTGTGTTACTGCTCCAGACATGTTCACTGCTCTCTGTCCTCAGCAATAGTTTAATTTCTGCTCTCAGAGAAAAGAGTGAAATAAAAATGGTTAAAGCAAAACCTAGAATTATTCGTTTCATTCTAAAAAAAAATGAGGATTGCCACCAGGAAGGAAAGAAGAAAGATATCTGCATTCCATTGTTGAAGAACATGTAGCAATATAGCCTGGCTGACAGGCATACAGTGGTGCTTTAATGGAGCTAGGAATCTTTTGAACAAGCAGGAGCAGCAGAAAATATCAACAAAGAATAGAATTCAAGTGGCAGCTTGTTCCAAACCACTTCAAATTCCATCTTCAGATATCTAGTAAAACTGCAGATTTCCTCATATTTCACAAGCGTATGGATTTTTGAAAGAGATGAAGAACGATTCATGTTTTGCAGTGCGCTGCTGTTCCTCATACAAAAGCATTAGCTGGAAGGTGTTTTTTTTATTCTGCAGCAAAATGCACATAGAAAGAAAGTTTCACTTGCTACAGACTCCTTTTTCTTTATTTGGCAAAGCAATTCTGTATGGCTCATATCCGTAACAGATATGGCAACAGTCTAATGAGCAATCGTCTCATCAGACGCATCTTAGTATTGTTTTCTTTTCCAGCAGTGAGATATTCCAACATTGCCTTGCTTTTGTAAAACACGGACAAAATCTGTCTCATTGATTATTCAGCCCGGCAAGCCAGAGATATGCTCAAGTTACAGGGACTCCCACATACCTCCATGCATTTAAGAGAAGCTGACAGTACCCTACACTTTCCAAGATGAGGAATATCCACTGACAGAGAGACAGAACAAGGCTCAGGTCTTTCCAGTCCTTGTGGCTGGCTTGCTACCTATGCCGAATCAGCTTTGTCTAGTTTGGATGTGGATTTGGAGTATCGACAACATTTCTCTTGAATTCAAAGCTCTCAGCAGATAAAATAATCCAGCAGTTCATAAACTCTTAGAGATAGCTTTCTGCTAAACCGTAGCCGTACATTTCAATAACAGAGTACATCACTAGCGGCAAGAAATTATTTACACAATGAAAGCTTGCGGTCAATGCTAGAGTTGCGTTTTTCTTCTTTTTAATTAGAGAAATAAGAAAAAAAAATTTAGAAATTATCAACATTTTTTAATTTAAGAAGCTGTTCACTGAGTTACTAGGTTCTGATGTTCTGAACCAGACAGGGAATACAGACTATCCAAACATTACTGACCCAGAGCTTCCTGGGAATCCCACCTGCCATGAAGTATTCCAAAAGCTTGCTCTGTGGGAAGTGGTTAACAGGGAAATGTATTACACATACCCCAGAATTGTGCTTCCCAGTGGCTACTGCCTAGAGGACAGAGGATGGACTAATGATTATCCCAACTGGTTTAAAAAAATAGGTTCACCATTGCAGCAAACCCCTGTACCATGATTCACAACTGGTTCTTGAATAACTCCTCAGTTATAAACAGAGATCAGAGAAACCAAGGTAATGCTCAGCATAAGGAAAAATGGCAGAATTAAACTCACAACATACAGTTTAATGTTTGGTTTTGTGGGTTTGGTTTTTTTTTGTTTTTACACAGCTGTCTTCCATTTCAGGAGAAACATATATTTTCACCCATCCAGGCTGAAAAATTCCTTAATAGAGCTGCTTCTTAATGCAAGATAAACAGTATGTTGGTGTATTTAAAACCTATTTTAATAATATT